CTTTTTATTAAAGTCTTTAAATATTAACTACTTAACATGTTAGATAACTCCTATATACACTTTCAATATAATTATATAATCTACTCAACAACCGGCAATTATAATTTTATTAAAAATTATTTACAACCGACACAATATACTGTGAAGATAAGTTTGAAAATAATGTCGCAGAACTTCTACGTACAACAATGAGCTCGCATCTTTACTAGGATAGCATTAGAAGAAGATACGCTATAGATTCGCCTAACGAACTTGATCAGTTTACTTTTCCTCATTCTTCTCGACCTCTACTCTAGGAATATATATGTTCTCTGTACGTTGATCACACTTGGCTGCAATACGCGATGTTGTCAATAGGAAGCTTTGTAATTTATTTAAATATATTTGTGCTTCTTTGTTCAATAATCCATCTTCGACCAACGATGCAACATTTCTTTCTACTCGCTTACATACCGCTTTAGCTGAATGTAGCATGGAACAAGCTTTGCCACCACCCTATTATAATAAAATGCAGTGTAATAACATCACTTGATGATACGCCAAGTAAAAATGTTATTTATTTTACCGGAATAATATAGGTCTCCTGCGGAGGCAGTTGATTGGCATATTCTGCTATCCATTCTTCTAGATCATTAATATGTTTACTTTCAAACGATTTACTCTTTCCAGGTATTGGTTTCGATATAGCGTGACTTAAATCGAATAGAATCATTTGCACCCTTTTTAATTTGTCGACGTAAGGGTGCTCGACTTTGCTGTCAGTTGCGAACTCTCTTGCCAGTCCTATTTGTGCTAATAATTCTTCAGTCGAAACAAGCGCATTAAACGTTGCATCATTTTCCCCAACTATCGTTACATCCGAATTTGTTAATTGCACATCGTTATGCCTTAACGGAAAATCTTTTTTGGGTATTTTAGATGTCGAACTACTGCTGCAACGAAATAATTTTATTTCAACATTGCTACATTCTTTTTAATTTAATAATAAAACTGCATTTTTATCATATATATATATATATATAAGCATAATAAAAGAATTGCTACAAAATAATAATAAAACAAGATTTATTATAAAGCTTCATAAGATTTGATCTATTATAAGTGCAGCATACATAAACAATTATTCAATGCAATTATCATGATAATATTTAACAATAAG